TTCAGCTGCACAATTATTGTTATAGATCTATCTATCTATCTATCTATCTATCTATCTATCTATATCAATCCATCCATCCGTCTGTCTGTCTGTCAGTCATCCATTATTATTATATATTTTTTGCTTTTTTTTGTTTTTAAGCATCATAGCCTTGCCCAGCACTGACCGAAAGATACATAGACGGAGGGAGAGTGCAAATAAGAGTGTTTTAGTGCCTGAAATAGGTGCTGTGTGTATGTCGGGTGTGATGGACAGTGGGGGTTGGTGAATTACATGTAGGCCTGGAGTACATTAGCATATTAAAAGCCTTACGGCATTTTATTTTTGTATGATAGAATAATGAGAACAAGAAACTGATCTCTGATACAATCTGATAGCAGAGACAACAGACTTCAGACCACATCTCTTCAGGTCCTTTAAATCACATTAGATCATCAACTCATAGCAGTAAATAAGACACTTTGTTTCAATATTTTACAATCTGTCTGCTAGAGTTTATTTAGATGTGATAATCTCTTTGAGCTGTCAATCACCCATATTAGTTTTACCTCACAGTCAGAACAGGAATAAGGAAATCGGATAGGGTTTTATCTCTCTCAAGGGTTTACATTTCAAATTAAATGAATTGTGACAAAACAAGTGTAGGTTAGTTGCTTTCTTGCAATATAAAAATGTGATGCATCCTGCGGTGGCTCTGAGGCGCATGAGGACCTGCACATTGTTTGCTTCACTTGTTTTAAAGGCAGATCAGGATTAAAAGACTAATTGAAGTCAAAGTTTTATGAAGATAACGATCATTCTGTGTCTTCTAATTAATATAAACTACCATCTGCATATGCAACATTGCTGTAATATAACAAACCGTCTGTGTGGATGCTTCATGTAAGTAGCGGGCAAAATAGAAAGTGTCTCGTGTCTATGGCTTGTCTGACTGGCCCGCCAGTCCCAGCAGGCATCACTAGGAGACACAGGGCTGGCACATGACCAGAAATGTGTCAGTGGAGCCAGCTGGGGTCACTGTGTGATCTCAGTGCCCTCTTTTGTTTTTGTCTGCCCAGTATGGAGTCTTTATCAAGTAAGTCCAACGGGAGCAGAAAAGGATTTCCACGTGCCCCATTGTTCATCTGTATCAGTTTCCTGTTTATTGTCATTTTTTGTTTCTACACGTTCCTACACATTCACCAATTCCTGTCACCTTTTTTATTTTTGCAAATAAATAATTCAAAGCATCAAATATAATGCTATTTTTTAAGAAACATGAACCAGTTGAACCTCAAAAAAATGCTGTTAGGAAATAATAATGCTGATCCTGTTTCAGGATCCCTGATGTCTGAGAAGCAGAATAGAATTTATTAATGTTGTTATTGGCACAAGTTGGTTTTTGCACGTAGGCCAGCATATACTGGTAAGTATATTATTAAAAGTATACTGGCAACCAGCAATAAAATGGTTTTAACTGTTTAAATCTACGCTGAAATAGGCTGTTTTTTGTTGTTTTCATAATGGGTCATGCATTTTATGTTTCATGCTGTCCATTTCATTTATTTTCTTTTATTTTCCTTTTTTATGGCATCTTGTAAATTGGTACAAATACATTTCTGTCTGATGTTAAAGCGAATAGAAGGTTTAACTTTTTCATTTTTTTGAATTTCATAAACATTCACCAATTCCTGTCATTCATACGTTTTTGGGGAAAAAATGAATGCAAAGAACCAAATATAATACTGGTTTTAAGAAACTTAAACCTCAAAAAAAAAAAATTAACTTTCAGGATTCCTGCATCTCAGAAACAGAATACTGTTCATTAATGTTTCTAATCTTATTATGAATGCTGTGAGCAAATTGTTAATCTGCTCAAGCACAAATTTGGCACCATTTTATTCGCTAAGATTATTCAGGTACACAATTTAAATAATAGCATTAATATTATAACTTTTTTTTTATTTTACTTAAAATTCAAATGTTAAATATTGTAAAGCTGATAAGCCCTTTTATTGACTCAATCCCACACTGCAGATTTAGCGTGGGGAGCCTGGTGCTGATGTTACTGTGGTTTGACAGCTCATCTCATCGCAGTGATAAATGAAAGCTGATGCCCTGTTCTCTGACTTGTTCTCAACAATTAGACTTTTGATGACCGACTTCTGAGACTGCCTTTATTCTTCTGTCGTGTGCGGTATAAGTTGTGGGAGCTGCTTTAGTTCTTTTGTAAAAATGTAAAAAAAAAAAAAAAGTGCTTTATGTGGTAATTTCTAAATTACCTGGTTTTCAAAGATTTTGGGCATGTAATATTTTTAAACGGTATTTGAATCTCTTATGATCGCCAAGTCTGCATTTATTTGAACATAAATACAGTAAAAACAGGAATATTGTGAAATATTATTACATTTTAAATTAACTGTATTCTATTTTAATATATTTTAACATGTAATTTATTCCTGTGATGCAAAGCTGAATTTTCAGCAACCATTACTTTAGTCTTCAGTGTCACATGATCCTTCAGAAATCATTCTAATATCCCAATGTAGTGCTCAAGAAACATTTCTTATTATTATCAATGTTGAAAAGAGTTGAAAACAAGGATGTATTTTTTTTTATGTTTTAAATTCAAAGTTCATAAGAACAGCATTTATTAAAAAAATAGAAAGTTATGTAAAATTATAAATATCTTAACTGTCACTTTCAGTCAATTTATTGCATCCTTGCTGAATAAAAGTATTCAAGTCTTTTAGAGAAATTGTGCTGAGCACAAATTTTGAACGGTAGTGAGTATAACAATTGCATAGTATATAAAAACAAACATTAAAGGGTTAGTTCAAAAATGAAAATTAGCTTGTGTTTTACTCACCCCCGAGGCATCCTAGATGTATATGACTTTCTTCTTTCAGACGAATCCAGTCGGAGTTATATTAAAAATTGTTCTGGCTATTCCAAGCTCTATCATTGCAGTCAGCAGGTGTTGCAGTTGAACAGTCCACAAGTCGTCAAATAAAGCTCGCGCATTCATAATAAAACGTGCCGCAGACGGCTCCGGGGGATGAATAAAGGCCCCGAGAGAGAACAAAACAAATTCACAAATTAGAAGTACAAACCGAGGATTTGCAAAGAAAATTGTCGGAGGATTTCGATATAAACCAAGA